ACAACCCAACCATGTATGGAGGAAGCCTTCAGAACAAGTGGCGTGCACGCAGCAGGAGACACGCATGGCGGAGAAAAGGCATATCGGGAATGAGAGCGACGAGGAGGCCTCGGAAGAACCAGGGCCGAAACGGGAGAGAAGACACCATGACATCAATTTCATTTATGGAGGTAATGCGGGTGGTGACTCTTCATCCCTGCGGAAGAAGTGGGCCCGTCAATTGTATATTGGTGAGATCATGCACTCTCCAATGAAAAAAAAGGTACGACGTGAGCCTATATGTTTTACTGATGATGACCTACCACCATGTCCAAGCCCACACCGGGATGCCATGGTTATCAAAATGGAGATTAATGATCTTGTCATACACCGTACCCTGGTCGACACGGGAAGTTCCGTGAACATAATGTACATCGACACTTTCGAGAAACTGAAGTTGTCTAAAGGAAAGCTCCATCCGATCAAGACTCCATTGTCTGGGTTCACGGGTGACTCTATCGAGGCAGAAGGAGTCATCACAGTCTCAGTGGAAGTAGGGGACACGTCCCACAAAGTGAAACTCGACATGGAGTTCGTAGTCGTTCGATTGGCATGTGCACATAATCTTATACTCGGACGACCAGGGCTGGAAGATTTGCAATGCATTGTGTCCCCGACACATCTCTGCATTAAGTTCCCAACACCGACCGGAGTGGGGATAGCACGCGGGAACCAGAAGCTCGCCCGAAGATGCTACATAAAAATCACAAAGAAGGTGGGGCGTCATGACCTCCAGGTAAACACTGTCGCCACGCAATATCAGGATGAAGAACAAAGGCCCCGTGCAGAACCCGCAGAAGGGACAGAGGAGGTCACCCTTGACCCCGAAACACAAGAACGGAAGGTTAAGATAGGAACCGGATTGGGGACTGAGCTCCGTGCCGAAATCATAGCCGTCCTGACCATGTACCAAGGTGTATTTGCGAGAGGACCAGAAGACATGCCAGGCATCAGCAGAGATGTTATTTCTCATCGCCTGGACGTGGATGCCACGTCAAAACCAGTAAAACAAAAGAAGCGTTTCATGTCCTCAGACAGGCGGGAGTTCGTAAGGAAAGAAGTGGGCACCTTGTTAAAAATCGGACATATCAAGGAGGTTAAATACCCAGAATGGTTAGCAAACGTGGTATTGGCGCCTAAACCCCCAACATGGAGGATGTGTGTTGATTACACAGATCTCAACAAGGCATGCCCGATGGATCCATTCCCATTGCCTAACATCGACCAGTTGGTGGACGAAACAGCGGGGTGTGAGCTGATGAGTTTCATGGATGCCTTCAGTGGATACCACCAGATTCGCATGCATGAGGAGGATGCAGAGAAGACCTCGTTCATGACACCAGAGGGCGTTTTCTGTTACTTGGTCATGGCGTTTGGACTAAAAAACTCTGGGGCAACGTACACCCGCATGATCTCTAAGCTTTTCAGACCTGTCCTAGGCCGCACCATGGAGGCCTACGTGGATGATATGATTGTGAAGAGTAAAAAATCAGGCACACATGCTATGGATTTGGCAGAGGTATTCAAAATCATGGAGAAATTCAATCTACGCCTCAATCCGAAGAAATGCACTTTTGCGGTGCAAGGCGGGAAGTTTTTAGGATACTTGGTGAGCCGGAGAGGAATTGAGCCAAATCCAGAGAAGGTTAAAGCCATTCTGGACATGGAGCCTCCCCGTAATGTTAAGGAGGTCCAGCGATTAACAGGACGCTTAGCAGCACTAAACCGCTTCTTATCAAAACTAGCTGAGAAGGCCACACCGTTCTTCCACATCATGAAGAAGTCAAAAGGTTTTGTATGGACTGAGGAATGTCAAATTTCGTTTGAAGGATTGAAGCAATATCTCTTATCTCCTCCGGTGTTATCTAAACCAGAGACGGGGGAGACCCTTTATCTATATCTGGGGGTCTCCCCGAGTGCAATAAGCTCTGTCTTGGTACGTGAGGAGGGTGGTGCTCAGAGACCTGTTTACTATGTCAGCAAAACCCTGAGGGATGCTGAGCTACGGTACACTGCCATAGAGAAAACTGTTTTGTCAGTGGTATGGACAGTCAAACGACTGACGCAATACTTCCAAGCTCACCCCGTCCATATTTTGTCACACCAACCTCTAGGCGCGTTGATGAGGAGTCCCACAGCATCATCAAGGATGGTCAAATGGGCAGTATACCTTAGTCAATTCCACATATAAGTGAAGCCTCGCCCTTCAGTCAAGGGGCAAGCTCTGGCGGATTTCATTGTGGAATGCACAGCACGTGAAGAAGCGACGAAGACGAGGCATGAAGACCATGATTCTGAGTGGTGGATCCTGTCCACGGACGGCTCCTCCGCAGCCAAATCTTGTGGTGGAGGGGTGGTCCTCACCACGCCCGAAGGCTTTAGGGCCTACTATGCCATCCGGTTCAATTTTAAAGTATCTAATAATGAAGCGGAGTATGAGGCTCTGTTATGTGGTTTGCGCCTAGCGGCGAACATGCGGGCGGAGAAGGTAAAGATCCGATGTGATTCGAAGCTAGTTGTGGGACAAATCACAAGCGAATTTGAGGCAAAGGAGGAACGCATGAGGCAGTACCGCGATGCTGCATTGGAACTCTTAAAATTGTTCATAGCTTATGAGATTGAACAAATTCCGAGGGGACAGAACGTTGAGGCCGACATGCTGTCCAAACTCAGCGCAGAGACCCCCGAGAGGATCTCAAGGATCGCAAGAGTGGAAGAACTAGACACTTCTAGCATATATGCATGTCCTGTGCACACCATAATTGCTAGAAACGAGGACTGGATAGACCACCTCACCAAGTATATTCGTGAGGGAATATTGCCTGCTGAGGAGGTTGAAGCCAAGGTGATCAGGATGAGGGCGCCAAGTTATACGATTTTAAATGATGTGCTGTATAAAAGGTCTTACAATGGCACACTCCTCAAGTGTCTACGACCGAATGAGGCCATGGCTGCCATGGAAGAAATACACGCAGGGACATGCTCAGCGCATCAGGGGGCGCACACCATGTCACGAAAGGTAATTCTACAAGGATTCTTCTGGCCAACCATTGTAAAAGATTGTGCAGACTTTGTTAAAAAGTGTGTCGTGTGCCAAGAGTTTCAGAAATCTCCGGGACGCCCAGCAACGTATTATACCCCCATCAGCACGGCCATACCATTCACTAGATGGGGAATTGATCTTATCGGGGCCTTGCCGAGGGGGACCGGGAGCGTCAGATGGGTTATTGTGGCCATAGACTACTTTACCAAATGGATCGAAGCGATACCTTTGGCGAGCATCACCGAAGGGCAATGCAAGAAATTTGTCATGAAACACATCCTCTGCCGTTTCGGAGTACCCCAACAAATCATAACCGATAATGGAAGGCAGTTCGGAGCATCTGGATTTAATGACTTTTGTGAGAGTTGGGGAATCAAACACAGCAGTGCATCGGTCGCTTACCCTCAGGCAAATGGGCAGGTGGAAAATGCAAACCGCACAATTATGGATGGTTTAAAAAAAAAAGCTCGTAGCAGCCGGAGGCGAGTGGGCTGAGGAACTACCACAAATACTCTGGGCGTACAGGACTACGCCGAGGAAGGCAACTGGCGAAACACCATTTGCTCTTGCATACGGTTTTGAGGCGAGGGCGCCAGCAGAGGTAATGCTCCGTAGCCATCGAGAGGAACAGTATGATCCAGAAATAAACGAGGAGATCATGACAACCGAACTTCATTTCATTGAAGAGAGAAGAGAAGCGGCTTTCTGCCGCGCAGAGAACTATCGAAGGCAAGTCAAGGCATACCACGACTCTCGGGTGCGCAAACGAAACTTTGACGTCGGAGACTATGTCTTGAGGAAAAGAGAAGTGAGTAAACCCTTGGAAGGCGGGAAGTTTTCAAAGAATTATGAAGGTCCGTACATCATAAAATCAGTGATCCGTCCGGGGACCTTCAAACTTCAGACACCTAAAGGGAAGGAGATCGAGAGGACCTGGAATGCTGAGCACCTACTCAAATTCTACCAGTAATATATTCCTTTTGGTGTTCTATCTATAATGTAAGTTCAACATCTACTCATCAATAAAGTACTACGGTGTGCACGGTCTGTAACCGTCACCATTACTATGAGAAGGTTTCGCACCAAAAAAGAAAAAAAAAGAAAAAAAAAAAAAAAAAGACCCTCCGTGGTCGCTATGGGAAGATATTCTAGTACAATATTGATAACAATAAAAGCTTGGGCGACACTCAATGTGTTACCATAAAAAAGAGGAATATGCCCTGAGCATGTTCCTTGCAATGCCTAACCCTGGGTCGCATGGTCAGGATGTGCATGTAGGAATCCCTAGACGCGACCATGTTTCCCGAAAGACGTCGTGTGCCCTGTGCAAACCTGGTCATCAGGTTCGCTCACTCAACATGGCTCTGAGGTCACTACTGAGTGATGCGCACAACGTAGCAAAGGAGGAGGAGTCCCCGACAACTTGTGCCTTTTGCTGTCCATGGTAACCCCCTAGTAATGTACAGTACCGTCATACTGAACCAAAGTTCTCATATCCGACATCGGGAGAAGTTTGGGGAGGGGGAGACGCCGAGTTCTATGCTCAGCGCTATACCATCATATAATACGACAACGAAAACAATGACCGCGCACACCCCACTTGAGCAGGGTGCGGTGTGCAACGTAATCACCCGTATAGGTAACAATATTGAAAGGAAATATTACATTGTCAAGATAATTGTTTGCTTGAAATTCAAAAAACAGTCTAACAAATTAGGTACTAAAGAGAAGGAAGAACATGCAGACCACGTTATGGTAGTCTAACTCTAACACTCTCCAAGGCATAGATGGTCGAAGAGGGGATCGCTCAAGCTAAAGCCCCAGCATTGCTACTTCTTCGGAAGTTATGGGGTGATCAGGATCTTCACCCCTAGGGAGCTCGCCCAAGGGAACGACTCTGGAAGAAGAGTCAACATTCTCAGGCTCTGGGTTAGGAATCTCAAAAGGAAGCCCCCAATCGACAATGCATGAGGCGCCGTGCTTGGCCTTCAAAACAGCATAAATTTCCTGTTGTTTGGTATATTCCCCCAAATTGTAGCACAGTAAACCGTCTTTGTCAAGTCTATCGACGCCGGCGGGAGTTTTAAGCCAACGTTCAGCGATCTCTTCTAGGTGGGAATCAATGTAGTGTTCCCGCTCAGCGCGGACCTCGGTTAACTCGGCAGCGTGAGCATCCCTCTCCTGTGCCTCCCTGACCGTGTGAGCTTCAATCACTTCGCTCATCAATCTCTTATGGGCAGCCCGCTCTTCAGAAAGCAACGTTAATAGCTCTTGCTCGCGCACAACATGCTGACGATTCTTCCCGGAGATCTTCAACACAAGCTACAAAAAATATATTATATAATATATATTATTAGTCACATACTTATGATTGTTATACATGCAATGCTATGAAGGAAAGTGAGTGGTTACCTCTGCTGCGACATGGAGACAGTCATCCTCCAACGGTCCATCAGCCACACTCTTCAGTCCTTCCTTGAGCCTGACATCACGAGCACCACTAGTGCTCCGGGTGATGCGCCGTGTCTCTTTGGTAACTGGGTCGTTGGTAATGGGCATAGAAAAGGACGAGACACCTTCACCTTGCGACGCGGGTAGTATGGCCTTTTGTTTCTTGCTCGGCGGGTCTTGAGCGGACGCATGTGACCCTTCGCCATTCATCTTCTTGAACCTCTCCGCACGGGACGTCATACCTGTAAGAATAAATAAATAATATACACATATATTAATTTGTTAATCATGGGAAGGATCTTGTTCCAAAAAGAGCGCGGTGAGCGTAGACAACCTGGGCCTAAAGAAAGGGGGGCGAGGATGTCCGATGGTGAGCACAAGCCCGAGGTGAGGAAACCGAGTCTGCTCAAATGGTCATCGGTAGTATATGTAGAAATGCTAAACGGTCCGCCCGCTAAGAACTTTTCCGGCCAAAACTCTTGATCGTCGGGGAGAGTGAGACGCGCAAACTTCTTATAATGAGGGCTGAAAACTGTGGGGAAGGGGGGAGCATGTCCGGTAGACACAAAGATGAATTCTTCCTTCCAATTACTGATTTTACTGTGCGAAACTTTCCACGCGTCAAGGTGGGCACGTTGGGAAATAGATACCCATGACAGACTATTAGCTCGGGAGCATTGACCAACCCTAAACAGGTGCTTAAAAAGATCTAGAGACGGCTTAATCTCGATCTCCTTACATCGGGCCAAAAATGCCACCAGGTACTGGTGACCAAATGGGGTGAGCTGGCACGGAGGAATCTCAAGCTCACATAGGAACTCAGTGATGAAAGGATGCACGGGGAGCCTGAATCCTAGCCTCACGGAGAGGGTATGTATCCCGAAAAAATCACCCTCAGGGGGCTCAGTGACTATGTCATCTCGGTTCGGGATAACCACGGTAACATCGGACGGGAAAAGTCCCCGATATCTTTCAAACTCAGACAATGAAAGTCGTGATTTGCATGATTCAATGTGAGTCGCATCTAAAGGAACGTATAGCCCACGAGGGCGACATCTTTTCAGTCTCACCGAGTCAACTATTGGAGATTCTGGACTAGCTACCTCAGTGTCAGAATTATCATATATCCAAGGTACATTTTCTAAAGCCGTTCCATTAACCGGTTCCGAAAGTTCGCTTAAGTCTATGGAGTCCAGTACATCCATAAGATATTGACAACTAAAATACAAATAAATAGAAATTAGCAAAATCAAAAATCATGTGAGTAGTGTAAAATTTCGTATGCTGCATTTATTTAAGAACGAAGGTAGTACATTTCAGCAGCTAATTACAAAAAAAAAATCATTTGCTGATTACAAAAAAAAACGATGATTAGTTGTATAAAAAAAATGACTAGTTATCTATAAAAAAAAATGAAATCGTTTTCTAAAAGGGCAAGAATGACTTTTAAAAGAAACAAAAGGTGGAGTATGGTTACCTTCGTACTACGTGCTACATACTAACATTTCAAAAAAAAAAATGGTCAAAAAATCGTAAAAAAAAACATTGATTTAAAAAAACGTGTGAATACGTATACGTGTATAATACGGTGTCTGTTACAAAAATCCGGACTAAAGATACGGGGTATTATTTTGAATATTTAAATTATATACTTCACAAAATCACATATACAGTGAAAAGAAATAAAAGTATACACATATTCAAGTAGCAAATCTCATTACTACATAAAAGAATAATTTGTAATTACATAAGTCGACGACAAACATTAATAATAGTAATTAGTTCAAAGACATGATTTTGCAAACTAATGTTAAAAAAAAAAGGCAATGGAAAAGGGATACATCTTCTAAGCGGACTAATATATTGGTATAAAATGAACATCACTAACAATTTATAAGTGAAGGAAACAAAACATAAAAGTAATAATTAAATGTAAGTCAAAATTAAAAAAAAAAAGTCAAAATAAGAAGATAAAAGAGGAGAGAGGTTACCTTCTCTGGTAAAACGAACGGAGGGGAAGCTCCACACGCAACAACAGCAAAGTACGAGCAGCTGAGGTGAAGACGGCGGCGGCAAGTGGAGCGGCAGCGAACCAGAAACAAAGGGAGGTGGCCGCAGTTGGCAGTGATGGCTACGGTTTTGCGTCGAACTCTTGACCTCGTCAATCGCTTCCAGTATGAAGGAGGAGTTGCACCTTCTCCGGCCGCGGACAGTTCTGGCCGTTCAATAAGCCGGCCGCCGGCGGTTCAATAAGTCGGCGGTTCTGTTTCTCCGGAGATGCGACGACCTTCTTCAGAGCCACGGTGTTCAGTTTTTTCCGGGGCAGCGGCGGTCACGTCTCCGGGGCAGCGGCGGTGAGTCTCTCCGGAGCGGCGGCAGCTTGTTCTTCGAGATGTAACTATTCTGTTGGAGTTTTTGAAGCATGAACAATATTTTGGTTGATAATATAAAATTACATGCTAGGACAAATTAATGTTTGGGTGAAAAATGATTGGTGATGATATGGAAGATATGGTGAGCATTGGCAAATAATCTTGAGTGGAAAATTTTGAAATGATGCACTCAACATGCACGAATGGAAGGCTCCTGGTGTTATCTCTTGGAATGACATGCTTAGCATGTACAAATGGAAATTACTGATATTCTACTTTGGGCGACACGCTTGGCATATACACTACTCTAAGTGACATGCTCAGTAAGTCTTAAAGTTGACATGCTCAGCACACCTTATGAGAGACATGCTTGGCGAGTCTCAGGGACGACGTGCTCACCAGGCTTTGGGAGTGACATGGTCAGCATGTACGCTTTGTTGGTTTCTTGATGTAACACCTTACAAATGACATGCTCAGCGGGTCTTAGGGACGACGTGCTCAACGAGTCATAAGGGCGACATGCTCAGCATGGACGACTCATTTATTATTTGGTTTAACACCTTATGGTTGACATGCTGAGCATACCTCTGGAGTGACATGGTCAGTGTGTCCGGTTTATTTATTACTTGATGTAACACATTATGAGTGACATGCTCAGCAGGCCATGGGGGTGCCATGGCCAGCATGTACAACTTATTTATTTCTTGGTGTAACACCACAGGGGTGACATGCTCAACACAGACATAAGTGAGGATCATTAGCATACTACTCTAAGCGACGCAGTCGACATGAACGTGCTTAACACAGATGAAATGGTGGTCTTATGTGGCATGATATGACTTTATTTTAGTAGTTGATGTATACTTCCTCTCACCGATTTGTTACTCGGCTCGGGAAGTGGGGGGCTTGTGATGACATAAATACCAGCCTAATATGGTAAGCCCGATTGAATGTGGGCTTAGCCCGTAAATGATATGGACAAGACGAACGTGAACATCAGGCCCAAGGAAATACATGGTCAACATACCCGGGATGAGAATCATGGAGTCACATTTACCAAGATATGACGCGCTGAGCATGACGTGGTCTTATCTTTACAATGGGGGTTTAGACATGACATGCTGAGCACGACACACTCTTACCTCTACCATGGGATTTGAATACGGCCTGCTGAGCATCACATGGTGAGCCTCAACGCGCGTGGCGCACAAACGCTTAGACCATCGCACATGCATGATGCTACTTCCCAGAAGCTACGTGACCAACACCAAATCTCGAAGATCTCGGGTCAACTCGCAATCAGTCCTACAAATTAGAGGATGGTGGCGCGTCAGTTCAGGCATGGCGACCACGTCGCCCGAATATTTCTTGTCTCAATTTTGTATTATAAATTCATGCAACTCTTGTAAGAATGGGCAAGCTCAAGACATTGAATACACTACATACATTTATCTCTCTAAGTATTATTCTGAGTGCTTTAATTATTTTCGGCTATCTATTAATTATTTTCTGGTGGATTTACTTCCATCACATACTAATATATGTTATATATTAATTTATATTGTATATTAATATATTATATATATTAGTATAAATATACACATATGAAAATAAAAAAATACACATATATAAAACTAGGCTCGCCAGCCGGCTTGCGAGCCAACGAGCCTAAAATTAGTAGGCTCGTTTATGGCTCGACTGCTTAACGAGCCGGCTCGAGCTCGGCTCAAACTCGAGTTTGACCGATCTCGATTCGAGCTTTGACCGAGCTCGACTCGAGCGGCTCACGAGCGGCTCGGCTCATTTGCACCTCTAGTTGAAGGCTTGAAGCTTTCGAAGATGTTGAGGAACTGGAGGAACTTTCTTTTGAGTTGGATGATGAGATATGAGTGATATTCTTATCCAACATTTAAGCTTGATCACTTGTGATGTATAGAGAAGGATGAAGTCTCAAGAGAATATTAGCTCGATGAATTCAAAATATTGTTGTTCTTGCAGTCCTTCGAGATGTATCATGTATACTGAGAGATGCCTTCCCGTTCGAGTGTAGAAAATATCTTCATTAAATGTGTGTACTGTTGATGTGACCAGCTGGTACCCGCAAAGCAGTCAACTTGCTATTTTGCGGCGTATTAAATATTATTCGTCTGGATTCTTGGGCAATCATCAGTTTTATATATCCCAACGAGTGAAGCTCATTAAATGAGCATTTAATGTGCGTACTATAGCTCTTCCGTTGAGAGGCTCCTAGCCGTTAGGGAATCTTTCGTTATAATAGACAACGCAGGCAGCTTTGGTAGAATTCCTAAGTGCAAGCAGTTCTGGTGGATCTTCTGTAGAAGCATAAGTCCACGGAAGTCACTCGAGCAGTTTTGTCCAGTAAGCGTAGCAGAAGACTTGAGGTCTTATGGTCTATCGACTACTCTAGTTACTTACACATGAAAAATTCTAATACATATTTTCTATGATATTCTAATTAGTCTAGCATCATCAAAATCTAAATAAAATTTATTCCTTACAACTCCTATGATTTTTCACCTTTTCTTCGCAGATGACAACCTCTTACTTTTTCAAACGACTGGGGGGAGGCAAATATGGTTAAACTGACTC